ATACAGGAGAGAGTCTAGATACCTTCTGGAAGAGTGTTTCCAGACCAGAGATGACAAGGACACATCCACTGCCCACCCTTCCCAACAGACTGGATGGGATGAGAGAAATGTGGGAGCAGACACAGAGGCAATTAGCATCTGGGATAAGCCAAAACAACTAGCCAAACAGCTGGCTCAGTGTGAACTCAAACACTTGACAACCCACTGAGAGGGGTGGGGGAGTGGTGGTGGTGATGGTGGTGGATGTGTGCATGTGTGTGTGTGTGTGTGTGTTTAACTAGCTTGCAAACCCTCCTTCATCACATGGTCAATTTGTTAGGGGGAAAAGGCAGTCCCAAAGCAAATTCCATACAGGCTTTGTGGACTCCACCCCCACCCCAGGTCAAAGCCAAAGACACTGGGAACTCCAAATCCCATCACCACCAAGGGAAGGTGGCTGGGACCTGAGGGTGGGGTTAAGCAGCCAGGTGGATACAAAAGGCAGACACGTGGGCTTTGGGGGCGCTCTCCATTTTGGGGCCCTCGGCCAGCTCGCGGCGTCCGTCTAGCTCTGAGAGTGACTTTGGGGTTTCCAGGTCGTCGGATCGGGTAGGACGCATTAAAGACTTTATTTCCCTATTTTCTCCCTGAGTTGTACATTTTCCTTATTTCTTTTTCTCTTGTAAATAAACCTTTTATTAACCCTTTTGCGTGTGTCTGTAGTAGAGTATTCATAAGTCCCTTTAAAGCGCGCGGGTGAGGACCCACAGCCAGGAACCCGTTTAATATCGGGGTTGCTCTATAACAAATTCAAAAGTATGTTTTTGTTGGCAAAGAGCAGAACCAGAAGTATCTGCAAATAGGTATCCCCATTACTATTGAGATTCAGATCTAGTTTCACCCTGTCTTTCATGGGAGAGTTAAGGGGTGGTATTTACAGGTATGCCAAAGAGTGGTCAATAACATAATAGAGATAACAGACAAGGGAGAATGAACTTGAAAACAGAGTGATAAAAATTATTTGACATATTGGGCCTCCCTCATGGCACAAGGGGTTAAGACCCAACCTATGAAGCTGTCCACAGCCACTGCATCACGAGTTCGATCCCCAGCCGGGGAAATACCCACATGGTGCAGCAGACCTCTCCTGACTCGCCCCGCTGTTCCCCTCAGCAGTGCATTTCAGTCAATCCTTCTGTTCTGTTCCCCACTCTGTCTCTTGTGAATCCTCTCACCCCCCACACTTCTGGCCTGTACCCCAGTTCTTGTATGCATAAATAAATAAATCTTCAAAAAAAAGTATTTGATATAAACAACAGAGCAAAAAAAAAAAAAAAACAGAAAAATGATCTGAGTATCAGGAACCTTGTACAATATCAAAGGTCGAACATTTGTATCATTGAAATTCTAGAAAAAAAACACATTGGTACAGAAAAGTAAATGTGAAGAAATAATTGCTGAAAACTTCTCAGATGAAGTAAAAAACATAGCTTTGAAGATTTGGAGAAGTGAGCTAATCTGAAACAGTATAATCTCAAAAAAAAACATGCCCATACCAAGTCATGTCATAATAAAACTGCTGAAAACCAAAGATAAGTAAAATATCTTGTAGCTAGAAAAAAAAAAAAAGAGATTATACACAAGGGAACAATGAGTCAAATAACTATTTCTCATGAGAAACTATGAAGGTTAAAAACAGAAGGTCAAATTTTTTACAGTGCAAGGGAAAAAAAGAACTTAACTAAGGATTTGAAATCCATAATCACTCTTGAAGACTTTAACTTTCCTCTTACAGTAATTAAAAAAAGAGACAAAAATCAGCAAGGATATAGAATTCCTGAACACCAATATCAACCAACTTGACCTAACTAACATTTATAGAACACTTTACCCAACAACAACTGAATGCATACTTTTTTCAAGTTTACATGGAACACTCACTTAGACAAACCATATCCTGGGCCTCCCTGGTGGCACAGAGGGTTGAGCGCAGTGCTATGAAGCTGTCAGCCTCTGCAGTGCAGGTTCGATTCCCGGCCAGCCAGGGAGATTCCCGCATGGCTCGGCAGACCTCTCCTGTCACGCCAGCTGCTCCCCTCAGCAGTGTATTTCAGTCAATCTGCCTGTTCTGCTCCCTGCTCTGTCTCTGGTGGATCCTCTCACCCTCCCGCGCCTCTGACCTGTACCCCAGTTCTTGTATAAATAAATAAAATCTTGAAAAAAAAAGATAAATCATATCCTGGGCCTTTCCTTAACATAAAGCAAACCTTAATAAAAATTTAAAAATTAGTATCATATAACCTGTTCTCTGCCCATAATGGAATTAAACTAGAAATCAGTAACAGAAAAATATATAGATAATTCTCAAATATTTGGAATTTAACCACAATTCCAGCTAGAACCTGTCAAAGAGGGTATCTCAAGGGAGGTTAAAGATACCATGATGATAGACTTTTGAATGAAGCCTCAGTTTTGTTATATCAATTCTCCTCAAATGAATCTCTAAACTTAACAAAATCCTTAATAAACATCCCAGCATAGCATACAGATCACAACAAGTTGATTCTAATATTTATGTGGGAAGTCAAAGGAACTAGGCTAAGCCAAACAATTTTGAAAAAGAAGAACAAGTTAAAGGACTAAAACTGTATGATTTTTTAAATTTATGATAAAAGTACATAACCAAGAGAGTGTGATAGTGGCAAAATGATAGCCATATACCTCAATGAGACAGAATAAAGTATAGATTAAGATCCACACAAACGGGCCTCCCCTGGTGGCGCAGTGGTTGAGCGCTGGGCTGCGAAGCTGCCCGCAGCCTCTGCAGCGCCTGTTCGATCCCCGGCCACAGGCGAGGGTCCCCCATGGTGCGACAGACCTTTCTTGCAGCCCGCTGCTCCCCTCAGCAGTGTACTTCATCAGTCTGCCTGTTCGCTTCCCTGCTCTGGCTCTGGTGAATTCTCTCACCCTCCAGTGCTTCTGACTGTACCAAGTGCTTGTATAAATAAATAAATAAATCTTTGGAAAAAAAAAAAAAAAAGAATCCACACAAACAAGGGCCCCCCTGATGGAGCAGGAGTTAAAGTCTCAGTGCTATCAAGCTATCACCAGCCACTGTGGCCTGAGTTCGATCCCTGGCTAGGGAGCTGACACACATGGCGCAGTAGACCTTTCCTGTCTTGCCCACTGCTCCCCGCAGCAGTGTATTTCAGTAGATCTGCCTGTTCTGCTCCCCACTCTGCCTCTGGTGAGTTCTCTCACCTCCTTTACCTCTGGCCCCATTCTTGTATGCATAAATAAATAAAATTAATCTTAATAAAAAATATCCACACAAACATGGTCAATTGATTTTTCACAACAGTGTAAAGGCAATTCAATGGAGACAGGTTATTCAACAAATGACTCTAATAATTGAACATCTCTACAAAAGAAGATTAATCTCAATCTCTATCTCAAACCTTATACAAAAATTAATTCAAAATAGACCATACATCTAAATGTCAAATGCAAAACTCTAAAACTTTAGAAGAAAAAGAAGGTAATATTTAGGAACTTAGATTAGGCAATATCTTAATTTTCTTAGGTATAAAGCAAAAATTATATAAGAAAAGATTGGTAAATTGGTCATCATCAAAATTTAAAACCTCTGCTCTGGGAAAGACGCCCTTAAAAGGAATGAAAACATAAGACACAGATCGGGAAAAATATTTCACCAATCACATATGTGACAAAGTTCTTATATGCAGAATATTTAAAGAATTCTCTAAACTCAAAGAAACCAACTCCAATTTTTAAAAGTGGGCAAAAAAAATTGAACAAACACATCCGGAAAGGAGATGTATGACTAACAAGCACATGAAAAGATGCTCAACATCATCAGTTATCAGGAAAATGCAAAGTAATCCACAATGAGATAGCACTATAGAATGACTTTTTAATATAGAATCACTATAATAAAAATATTTTAACTGATAATATCAAAAACTGACCGTGAAGAGAAGTAACTGGGTGTGTCATACAACTGCATTCTAAAAGTGATGCAAAATACAGCCGCTTTATAAAATTAAGCAATGTTTTAAAACTAAAGCTTACACTTGTATGACCAAGCAGTTTTTATCCTATGTCTTACACTAGGGAAATGAGAACTCTTGATCACACAAAAACCCATGTATGACTATTTTAGAAGTTATTCATAATTGCCCAAACCTGGAAATAATCCAAATATCCTTGAATGGGTGATGGGATTAACAAACTGTGTAATAACCACTCAACAGAGTCTTTCTCAGCAATAAAAAGGAATGAACTGTATTGATCAAAGACATTATGCTTAGTGAAAGCAGACTCAAAATGTTAAATACCATATGGTTCCCTTTATGTAACATTCCAGAAAAAGTGAAACTACAGACACAGAGAACAGATCAATGGCTACCAGGGCCTCAGAGTGGGTGGTGGGTTTAACCACAAAGAGGAGAAAGAAGGGAAATGTTTTAGGTGAGGAAACTACTGTGGTTCTCCTCAGTATTTTGACTCTGTCAAAATTCACAACACTAAATCCAAGAAAAAGAAAACAGGAACAATTAATATAAATTTAAACAAAAGCTAGTTCTTCAAAAGGTTAAAAATAAACTACTAAACTTGCCAAATTGAGCAGGAAATAAAACAGAAATCACTAATATCAAGAACAAATAAGTTTTACCAACATTAGAAGTATGCCAGTGAATTTACAACTTAGATACAATGGACACATTCATTGAAAAGACATATGCTAAGCTAATAACTACTAACAAAGAACTTGAATATTCCATATCCATTGAAGATATTGGAAGGAAGGACCTTCCTATAAAGAAAGCTCCAGGACCAGTTGACTGCACTGGTGAAATGTGCCAAAGATTTATAGAAGAATCATAACAACTCCATCCAATCTCTCTGGAAAACAAAAGATAAGGTAATTCTTCCCAGTTCATTTCATTATTTCCTAAGGTTAAAAATATCAAACAGAGAGCAGCGTTATCATTACTTACAAGGTCCCCAAGTCAAAATCATTGCCCAGGAACTCCTCCAGCAGACTTGTATCCAGAACTGGGTTCTCCAGAGTGTCATTGGCCCCCTGAGCTGCAAAGGCAAATCAAAAAGCTTGAGACTCAGGAAAATTTCAGAAAGGCTAATGGTTAAAAATCAATGACTGCTTGCACCCAAGATTTTCAAAGCAATTGAATGGCATGATGAATCTATTGAGAAGTGTGATCATTCCTACCATTCCAATCTTTCCTTCAGGAATTTTATTTATTTTTTTTTTGTATTTTTTTACTTTAACATTTATCATTTTTAAAAATTTTTTAGACAATATTTGCTTCCCCCACCCCCTCAGATTGAGTCCCCCTAGAATCCTTCCCCAAGGCATCACCACAGTCCCCTGTGCTCCTCCCTCCCTCCCTCTGATCCCTCTCCCACCTCCTCCCCTGCAGTATGTCTCTGGATCAAGAAAATGTGGTATGTATACACAATGGAATATTATTCAGCAATCAAAAAAAGATAAACTCATGCCATTCGCAGCAACATGGATGGAGCTGGAAGGAATTATGCTCAGTGAAATAAGCCAGAAGGAAAAAGAAAAATATCGGATGGCTTCACTTATAACAGGAATATAGGGGACCCAAATAAGACATCAGTGCAAAAAATAATAATAAAATAACAGCACAAAACACAACAAAGCAAAAACAGTTATAAACCAGAGGAATCTCTTTAGATGTCACTCTCCTCCAGCAGCCTTCTCTGATTGTACAAAACTAGGTTAGGTTTCCCTAAACTATGTATTGCTGTTAACACTGTGGGTTTAGTCTTGTTAACTGCTTGCTTTTGTTTTTGTCACTCTATCTGAAGTCTTTAAGAAGGGTCTTCCTGGTGGCCTAAGGGTTAAGTCTCAGCGATATCACTGACACAGCCCATTTTGATGATAGCTGTGTTCAATCCCTGGCCAGGGAACTACCCACATGGAACAGCAGATCTCTCTTGTCTTGCCCGCTGCTCCCCTCAGCAGTGTATATCAGTGGATCTGCCTGTTCTGCTCCCCATGCTGTCTCTGATGAATCGTCTCACCTCCCTCGCCTCTAGCCTGCACCCCAGTTCTTCTACACAATAATAAATAAATAAAATCTAAAAATAAAGTCTTCAAGGACAGGGGCTGTGTTTTTCATACTGTATCCTCAGAGATCTATGGTGAGAAAGGGCAGCAATAAATATTTATTGGATGGATAGATGGACATATGAATGGCTGGGTGGGTAGGTGGGTGGATGGATGGATGTGCAGATTATTTCCAGTTAAGTTCAACATATCTTGCTTCACATCTTTGTTAGATTTCCACAATGTAACACAATAATTCTGGTTAGATATTTAAGAGAAAAAAACCAGGATCATTTTCCTGTTTCCATACCAAAAAGCCTTAGAAAGAAAACTGAAATGAATAGTCTTATAATCTTTACCAAAAAGTCATTTTTAAATTCTACTATCCCACTATTTTCCCTTTAAATTCTTTTTATTCTATTAAATTCAAATAAAATTAATATTTTAGAGTAAATTTAATATTTTAATTAAATAGTAATTCAAGATAAGATCCATTTCTTATAAAATTATTTCTATCATCTACTTATCAGTCCTTCCATCTATCCAACTATCTGTAGCTATTCATAGAGAGGTGTTGAAATTATATTTCACCACTACTTGATATTGATGAGATAATAGGATTTAGAATGATTTATTCTAAAAAAATTCTTAATATACATTTGCAAAAATGCTTTCCACAATTTTGGAAACAGCTTTTAATTTTAAAATGATTTTCTAAAGCAAGTAAAAAAGCAAATTCCCAAAATCGTCTCAAAAATAAAGTCTAAAATTTAGACCAATACTCCTGATGTTGAGAAAATTTTCATTCCTGCCTATCAACCTACTGTTTTACAAAAGAAAAAGGTCCCAATGGCATCATGGGTCATGCTTTTAAAATCTTAACATGATAATTTCTCCACAATTTTTATAAATCTGGAACATAGAGCATAGAAAGAAGAAAAGCATCAAATTCTTTGTATGTAGCCAACATAAAACTCTTGCCAAAATCTGACAGAAATGAGACCCTAAAGAAAACCAGACTGATATCACTTGTGAATATTACACCAAAATCCTAAATACAATTTCTAATATAAGTAAACATTTTTATTCAGAGAATTTATCACGGAACACAAAGGTGCCTTCAACTTAAGAGAAACATCACAAAAGTAATATACAAAAAAAACTTCTAAATTCAAAAAATAGCTACTTAGAAAATTTAATGCAAAAGAGTCACATTTATAATAGGAATACTATTCCTAGAAACAAATTTAATATAATAAAAAGGAAAAAACTCCAAAATTCTGTCTCATAATTAAAAGAAAACTATTTTTATGGTGATAATTTTTATGTTTTATATATATGTAAAATAAGATACCTGGGGAAACAAACAAGCAGAGCATAAGTAAAAGAAAATTTTAAAAAACGAAGAGCATATTTTGTTTGGATAAAATGGGGCAATGGTGTGAAGTTGTAAACACTCAAATCTATAAATTAAAAATGTCCACAATAAAAATTTCTTAAAATAACAAAGTGATTCTAAGCTTATTAAAAAAATAATAATGCAAAAATAAAAACCTATGAGTAAATAAAAGAGATTTAGCAATCACATGAAAACAAATTTCTCATTGTAGCTTTACACAGACCAATCTTTTGAACAGAATAGAGTCTATAAATGAATTAAAATAAATTCATGGGAATTTGGTTTATTGTAAATTTATTATTTCATGTCAATGGAAAAAATAGGTTATTGAGTAAACTCTTTACAAGAAAATTAATTCCTAAATATATTGAAATTTTAAATAAATCATATGATTATAAGAAGGAAACAGGAATATAGGTTTGTATATTTTTTTAAGATTTATTTATTTATGGATACAAGAATTGGAGTACAGACCAGAGGTGTAGGTTGGGGGTAGGGGCAGTGGATGGGAGAGGATTCACCAGAGTGGAGAGCAGAACAGGCAGACTGACTGAAATACACTGCTGAGAGGAGCAGGAGAGGTCTGCTATGCCATGTGGGTAGCTCCCTGGCCAGCCAAGGATCAAACTCGTGCTGCAGAGGCTGCAAACAGCTTCACAGTGCTGTGCTTAACCCCTTGCGCCACCAGGAAGGCCCATATTTGTGTATTTTGAAAGGACAAAAGATCTGTCTAAAAATGGTGGGATACCAAAAAACATATAGGGAAAAAATCTATAAATTTAGTCTCATAAAAATTTAATTCTTTTGACTGCATTAAAAAAAAAAGGGTTGAAAGCAAATACTACCTCTAAGGTTTTGTATTAATATTTCCCAAATCAACATCTCTTAATGATTGCCTATGTCCCGCCCTAGAAAGGGTTCTTGAGGGCAAAACTCATTCTCTTATTCGTTGCTGCTCTCTCATTACCTAGCCCGTTTCTGACTCAAGAGTTCATGTCAAACGGTATTTATTGAATGAACAAATAAATGAATGTCTTCACTAGCAAGCGCTGGACTATGTATCTTGGAGGAAAGAGGTGACCTTGATGGGATTTCCTCTCTATTCTGCCCACCTTCCTTTACTTTCTCTGATTCCTGGGGACACACAGTAAGTACCCCAGCAACAAAGGGAAGTGAAATCTGAAACCCAGATTCCTTGAGCACCACAGCTCAAAGTAAGCCTTTGTCTTACCCAGCAGTGTGAGCCCATGAGAACCTCCCACTCCCGGGACTCCTTCACTGCCCTCCACCACCAGCTCCAGGAGCCATATCTGGAAGCCAATGTCCAAGGATTAAACAAAGGCAAGCACTGTGCCAACTGCGGGGGGAGCCAGGCTTGCTGGAGTCCATTACTCTCTAAGCTGCCATGGAAAAGCAAACACAAACGCAGTGGTGTGTTGCAATAACAACACCTGAAGGGGTGCAGGGAGTGGGGGGGATCCCATAGCTCTACAACATAAATAACAAGGTAAACCCATGTGGATTCAATTTGAAAAATTAATTTTAAAAATTTTGCTTTCCAAATTGCTGCAGGTCATAGCTTTCAAAACAAGAAAAGAAAATGTACTCAGCCCATCGTGTAGACACTGCACAGTAGGGGTGTAATCCAAACCTAGTCTCAGTTCCCATTCTGTGTGGTGCACTTTGTTGTGAAAAATGCTTTGCTCTTCTAGAGAAACAACTAGGTTTGGGGTGGGTGGAGGGGGCTTTTGCCAACAATGGGGAACCAAAGTGTTTTTTTTCCATTTTATTGAAATCTGAAACAGGTGATAAGTAACTTAAGGAGACTTATTGAATTTATGGGGCTTTTCCAACTGCCTCTTGAACGGCAGTACTTCAACTCCAACTCCCACACTGACATCCCTCCTGTCATCCAGTGCACTGTAGTTGTCATGGGGCAAAATAGCTTTGCATTCAGATCACTGCACTAGTTAAAGAAAAACCATGATACGTTTAGCTTTTGGCTTGCTATCTCGCCCAAGGGCATTAAAGTAAAGCTTTTTAAATCTTGAATACCTCCCAAAAGGAAAAATTAATGGGCACCAGGGAAGGGTGGCAAGGAGGGAGTAAAAAAGACAAAGGAAGGGAATGAGAGATGGCCACCCCATCCCAGGGCATGGACTTAGAAATGTGGGCAAAATATGCGTAAGAGTTGAGATGGTCCAAAATGACCTCATAGCAGAGTTTAGCCTTGAGCTAGACATCAAAGAAAAGCTAGGAGGAGATGAGCAGGGCAAGACATTCATTCTTTCATTGATTCAACCCATATTTATTCATGCCTACTTCCTGCCGAGCACTGTACAATTTTCCAGGGACATGGAAGTGACAGGACAGACAAGATCCCCTCAGGGAATCTGCACTGCAGGGTGGAAAGGTGTCTATGGTGAGGATGGGGAAGACACACATGACACATGAGAAACAATTAACACGCAGGGCATTTTCAGACAGCGATGAAAATAAAATAGAGCAGCATGACAGACTGGGAGAAACAGCTCCTTTGACAGGAGGCCTTTCTCAGGAAGGAGTCAGCCATGCAAGGGTGGAGGGCGGGAC